ATCTCTGTGGGAAGCAATATGGAGATACCTTAAAGAGATACAAGCGGATCTACCATTTGATCCAGCAATCCCATTACTGGGCATCTACCCAAAAGAACAAAAGACATTCTATAAAATAGACATCTGCACTCAAATGTTTATAGCAGCACAATTTACAATTACAAAGATGTGGAAACAAGTAGTGCCCATCAATACATGAGTGGATTAATAAAATGTGGTATATGTATACCATGGAGTTCTACTCAGCCACAAAAACGAAGGTGATCTAGCATCACTTGTATTATCCTGGATAGAGCTGGAACCCATTCTACTAAGTGAAGTATCCCAAGAATGGAAAAACAAGCAGCATATGTACCCACCATCAAATTTGTATTAACTGATGAATACTCAAGTACACGTATAGTGAGAACATTCCCTGGTGTCAGGCAGATGAGAAGGGGGAGGAGGGTATGGGTACATACACATCTAATCTGTGTGGTGCGTACCGTCTGGGGGATGGACATGCTTGAAGCTCTGACTTGGGTGGGGCAACAGCAATATACATAACCTAAACATGTGTACCCTTGTAATATGTTGAAATAAAAAAAAATTCAAAAAAGAAGAAAACTGTAGCCTAGCAGTTCTCAAACTGTCTGGTCTCAGAATATTTTTGCACTTTAAAAAATCATGGATAGTCCTAAAGAACTCTTGTTGATGTGAGATATTTTTATCAATATTTACTATATTATAATAGAAATTAAAGCAGAAATTTAAAAAATTCTGATAATTTATTTAAAATAAATATAATGAAAACATTATGTACTAAACGTAAGCAACATGTTTATACAAATAACTACATTTTCCAAAAGAAAAACTTTTAAATAGACTGGTATTGTTTTACATTTTTGTAAAACTCTTTAATGTCTGAGTAAATAGAAGACAGAATTTCCTATCTGCTTTTTATATTCAGTGTGTTGAGATATACATATTATGTAGCCGCCAGAAAACTCCACTGCATACTCTAGAGACAATGAGAAGGGAGAATAATGCCTTAGTAGTACTATGAAGATAGTTTTGATCTCACATAGCCCGTAAAAAGATCTTGGAGGTTGCCCAGGTCTCCAGGACTTACTTTGAGAACCTCTGCTATAAGTCAATTCAATTATTAGCATTGATACAGAAACTAAAGTGAAATATTAGTAAACAGATCCCAGCAATACATTGAAAGATGACTGTACCATGTCCAGGTGGGATTCATTTCGGGCGTGTAGGAATGTTAGGAGATAGATTTGTATGGATTTAACATATTAATAAGTCAAAGGAGAAAAATCATTTAATCATTTCAATAGATGCCAGGAAGTACTTCACAAAATTCAATATTAGTTTCTGATTTGAAAAATCCTAGGAAGATATGATAAAATAAATATATCTCTATCCAACAGTCAGCCTCCTGCTTAATTAGAATATGCTAGAAGCCCAGTGTCATGCAGCAGAACTTTCCTGATCACTGAGGAAATTCATGGTTGCCCAGCATGGTGATAAACGGGGGAGTGAGTGGTAACTCACTGCAGACCCTGATGGATATCAGAGGTGGTAGCTGAATGATTAAAGATCGACCAGCTCAAACCATCAGCCCCCAGCAGTCCATTCCCCAGGTGCACTTACTGACTGGTGAAGCCATGGGCAGCCTGACTACCCGCGTCTTCGGGATGACTGTCCCTCCACAGAGATGATCAGTGGCAGTCTGCAGGCTGACCTGCCATAGTCAGGAGCTGGGTGTGGCCTCCTTGCCTCCCATAATCCAGAAAGAAATCAGGAATGGGGGCGGGGAGAAGGGGAGGAGGAAGTGGCTCTGCAGAGGCCACCCGGGAAGGGGCCGGGGAGACACATCTTTATCACCTATGGATCCTGCTCCCCATCAAGCCAAGATAGCAATCTGTAAGTACCTCCCTTGTGCAGGGCACTGTAATAGAACCTGGGAATGATGAGAAATGCTTACATTCCAGAAAGAAAAATATATACATTACTGGAAGTGGATGTGACACCCAGGAATAAAATATCAAGCTCACCTTTGACTCTCCTCTCTTTTTTGTTCCAGCTATCCTGTCTCCGAACACTTTATATCTAATACCCACAATATGTCCTGCATCCATTTTCTACCTCAATAGAAGGTGTTCTATTATACTATAAGGTAATATGGAGGGTTCGGGTCCTCTGTGTTGCCCAACTGAACTACTTTCCCTATAGTTAATCTTTGCCTATCCTTTTCACACTCTCAAATTAACCCCTCAAAGTGGTGCTTCAACCACATCACTCCCTTGATTAAAACCATCCAAGGGGGCTGGGTGTAGTGGTTCACACCTGTAATCTCAGCACTTTGGGAAGCTGAGACAAGAGTATCACTTGAGGCCAAGAATTTAAGGCAACATAGCAAAACCCCATCTCTACAAAAAAGAAAAGAAAAGAAAAGTTAGCCAGGTCTGGTGGCATGCACTTGTAGTCCTCCTACTTGAGAGGCTGAGTGAGGTAGGAAGATTGCTTGAGCCCAGGAGTTGGAGGTTACAGAGACATGATTTTGCCACGGCACTCCAACCTTGGTGACAGAGCAAGGCCCTGTCTCAAAACAAACAAACTAATAAAAAACCAACAATAACCATGCAAAGGCACTACACGGTGTATAGAATAATGTTGACACCCTACTTATCCCTGTGGGCCCAAATAAATGCCAGTTTCTTGATTATTCCATACCAGAAATTATTTCAGTTCTTTCTTATACTATGGTTTTCTGTGAACTTTTTTCCATGAATTTTATTAAAGTATAACATAGATACAGAAAAGCATGAGTAATAATTACATAGCCCCAGGAATTTTCAAAAAGCGTAACTAGAACCCACATCAGAAAACAGAATGACTAACAGAATTGCAGAAGAACCACCACGAACACTTCCAGTCACTATTCTCTCAAAGGATACCTCCTATGCTGACTTCTAACACCACATATGCATTAGTTTGGAATAATTTTAGTTCTATTTAAATGGAAATTATAGAAGACCTACTCTTTATTTGTACATTTCCAATTTTCAGTATTAGAATATAAGTTCTTTGAAGATAGGTACTATATACCACGTTCATTTTTGTACCACACTGTACAATGCTCTGGCATAGAGAATCACACAGAGAAGACACCAAATGCTTTCTAAGCCAACTTGGCAGGATGTCAACAATTGAATGCACATGAGGGACATAAAGGTTTTTATTGTTGTGTTCTTTCACCTGTTTTGTAGACTTGCAAAATTTCAAAATAAAAAGTGAAGGACACATTGCTTATTGAATTAGCTAAACAATCCAAGTAGGTGTTAGGACACATGTAATCTCTTTTTCTTGTCCTTCTTGAGTTTTAATGTATTTGTATAAACAATGAAAGTCCTAAATTAGGAATGAGTTCAGTGAGAAAAAAATCGGGAAACTCTCTTTCATTGAAGTTTTGCCTCAGAAGCTATTTATGGATTATTTAATTTTATTCACCTACTGTATTTTGGGCATTGCAGTAGGTGATGAGGATAAAATAATGAATATGTCTTGCTGAGTGTTGTCATGAGACTCCTTGAAAAACATTGTGCTTGGTTTAGCCTGATAGAAATGGCTTTGCTGAATGTGGCCCATGGTGGCCATGAGAAGGAACCATTGCAGCCACACTTTACCGAGGTTTTTCTACCTGGGGTATCTGTGCATCACGAGGTCATTGTCAAAGAAGCCAGAACAAAAAGACTCAGACTGCTTCTATCACTTCTTATTAAAAGGAATATTCATTCTCCACATTCTATTATTCTGTGTTTTATGTGTCAGATGATTTGTAAAAATAAAAATTAAAAATAAAGTGCTTGACTATTCTCTTGACAAACTATCAAAATGGTATCTACAGAAGTTTCTCCAACCTCATTGTCCACCTGCTCCCCTCACCACTGTCTTTCCCATATAGAACAGGATGGACCGGGTGCGGTGGCTCACACCTGTACTCCTACCACTCTGGGAGGCCAAGGTGGGTGGACTGCTCGAGGTCAGGGGTTCGAAACCAGCCTGAGCAAGAGTGAGACCCTGTTTCTACTTTAAATAGAAAGAAATTAATCGGCCAACTAATATTTATAGAAAAAATTAGCTGGACATGGTGGTGCATGCCTGTAGTCCCAGCCACTCGGGAAGCTGAGGCAGAAGGATTGCTTGAGCCCAGGAGTTTGAGGTTGCTGTGAGCTAGGCTGATGCCACAGCACTCACTCTAGCCTGGGCAACAAAACGAGACTCTGTCTCAGAAAAAAAAAAAAAAAGAACAGGATGTAGTACACATATACCAATAGATGTCATGGAAAAAGTAACAAAAAGGGGAAACCCAGCCCTTCTCAAAGCTCACTGGCATTAAAATATGGTGATATACTTAATATTTTTCAGCAGACGGATCTTTTGAGTCAAACTACAATTTGTCATAAAATTTAATCATTTCCGCTAAATAAATCACTTGAGTTGGGAATTTTGATTCTGGTAACTGGGAATATTCCAGTCTTGTTTTGAGCAAAAGGAACAATGACCACCTCCTTACAGTTCTATGTGATGGCTTTTTGGCTGTGTCAACGTGGCGAGGCTACAGCCCACGATTATTCAATCAAACACTAACTAGGTGTTGCTGTGAAGGAATTTTGCAGGTATAATTAAAGTCCCTAACCCATTGACTTTCACAACTATTATTCAGCAAGGAAGATCATTGTGGGTAATCTGGGTGGACCTGACTTGATTAGTTGTAATGCTTTAAAGCAGAACTGAGGCTTCCCTAAAAGAGGAAAGAAATTCTGCCTGTGAAGAACAACTTCAGCTCCTGCCTGTGGAATTCCAGTGTTACCGGGATTTTCCCTTTCTGCCTGCCTGCCCCAGGGGGTTACATGGGTAGTCAGCCCCACAATCCCGTAAGCAATTCTAGTGTATCAGTTTGCTAGGGCTGCAGTAACAAAGTAGCACAGACTGGGTGGCTTAGAACAACAGAAATTTATTGTCACACAACTCTGGAGACTAGAAGCTCAAGATCAAGGTGTCAGCATGGTTGGTTCTTTCTGAGCGCTGTGATGAGGAATCTGTCCCATGTTTCTCCCCTAGCTTCTGGTGGGGCTGGCAGTCATTGGTGTTCCTTGGCTTGAAGATAATTCATCACCCCAATCTTCATCTTTACATGATGTTCCCCGTGTGTTTGTGTGTGTGTGTGTGTGTCTTCCTGTACCCAACTTGTCCCTTTTTATAAGGACACCAGTCATATTGGATCACTGCCCAGCCTAGTGACCTCATTTCAATTTGATTATCTCTAAAAATACTCTATCTCCAAATAAGGGCACATTCTGGGGTATTGGAGGTTAGAATTCCAATATATTTTTGGGGAAGACATAATTCAACCCATGACACCTGCTTCTCTGGTTGAACCCAGGGTGATGTACTCTGTGTGGATCATTTGGTCACATTCCCCAAAACAGCTTACCAGAAGCATTGATTTCTCTAGTTGGCACATTCCAAGTCTCCAGAAATATTGATTCATCCTCTAAGTTGGTGGAGATGTTTAAATCTGGGTGTAAGCATAAAACAGTTGCTCAGCTTGCACAAATAAGGCCAGGGTTGAAGATTTAATAGAAATTGATTTATGGAGATATTTTAGAACTCTGGGGCACCTCAGCCAGTTTGATTCTGGGTATTTTAACAGCTGCTTCACGCCTAAATGAGAATGAACAACTTCGGAAGCAGATAACCTGCTCCGTGGGGTTTGGATGGAGGGGTTGTGGGTGTGACAACATGGAAAGAAGCTGGTTAGGTGTTTCAAGTGCCCACAGTCTGGGATTGGTGAAGACATTTCCACATTTCTATGCCTCTGTTCCATATTGCATGTTTACTTGTGGCCAAGAGGCTCTTATCTGATTTAATCTTCACCACATTCTTATTAGGCATGCATTAGTCTCCTATTGTAGGGTTGGAAAAAAATGAGTCTTAGATGACTCTTTCTTAAAAAAAAAAATCACACATTTAGTAAAGCTAGGCCAGGATTCAGACATACAGTCAATCTTCGTTCGTTGTGGATTTCTTACATGTGAATTCACCTACTCATTAATATTTATTTGTAACCCTAAATGTGATACTCACGGTGCTTTGATGGTCATTTACAGACATAATCAGAGTGACAAAAAATTTGAATTGCTGGACATGCACGCTCCCAGCTGCGGTGAGACAAGGCAAGGTTTTGCTTTCTTTATTCAGCTCTCATACTATAAACAAGTGTCCTTTTCATGCTCTATTTAGTGCCACTTTTTTTGTGTGTTTTGTGATTTTTGTTGGTGACCTTGCTGTTCAAAATGGCCCTCAGGCATAGTGCTGAAGCGCCCTCTAGTGTTGCCAAGTGCAAGAGGCTGTGAAATGCCTTGCACAGAAAACGCATGTTGGTGTAGAAGACTGATACAGGACCCACACTTTTCACCTCTCACAAAAATCAGCTCACACTGGGTAACAGACTTCAACCTTAGGTGTGAAACTATTAGAATTCTAGAGGAAAGTGCTGGAAATACTCTTCTACACATGGCCTAGGCAAAGAATTTATGAAGAAGACCCCAAACGCAATCATAGCAGCAACAAAAATAAATAAATGGGACCTGATCAAATTAAAAAGCTTCTGCACAGCCAAAGAAACTGTCAAGAGAGCAAACAGCCCACAGAATGGGAGGAAATTTTCACAAGCTACACATCCATCAAAGGGCTGATAACTAGAATTTATTTAGAACTCAGGAAAATCAGCAAGAAAAAATCAAACAACCTTATCAAAAAGTGGGCAAAGAACATGAACAGACATTTTTCAAAAGACGACAGAATAATGGCCAACAAGCATATGAAAAAATGTTCAACATCTCTAATCATCAGGGAAATGCAAATCAAAACTGCAATGAGATATCACTTATCTCCAGTGAGAATGGCCTTTATTAAAAAATCCCCAAACAATAAATGTTGTCTGGAAGCTGAAAGATAGGAACACTCCTACACTGCTGGTGGGACTGTAAACTAGTTCAACCTCTGTGGAAAGCAATATTGAGATACCTTAAAGCGATACAAGTAGATCTACCATTTGATCCAGCAATCCACTACTGGGCATCTACCCAAAAGATCAAATGACACTCTACAAAAAAGACACCTGCACTCGAATGTTTATAGCAACACAGTTCACAATTGCAAAGTTGTGGAAACAACCCAAGTGCCCATCAATACATGAGTGGATTAATAAAATGTGGTATATGTATACCATGGAGTACAATTCATCTTTAAGAAACAATGGTGATATAGCACTTCTTGTATTTTCCTGGATAGAGCCGGAACCCATTCTACTAAGTGAAGTATCTCAAGAATGGAAAAACAAGCACCTCATGTACTCACCAGCAAATTGGTATTAACGGATCAACACCTAAGTGGACATATAGGAATAACATTTATCGGGTGTCGGGAGGATGGGAGGGGGGAGGAGAGGATGGGTGTATACAACCACAATGAGTAAGATGTGCAATGTTTGGGGGATGGTCATGCTTGAAGCTCTGGCTCGAGGGGGGAGGGGAGGCATGGGCAATATACGTAACCTTAACATTTAAACCCCCATAATATGCTGAAATAATAAAATAAAATAAAATAAAAAGACACACACACACACAAAGAAAGCACATGTTGGATAAACTTCATTCAAGCATGAGGTATAGTGCTGTTCATTATGAATCTAATGTTAATGAATCACCACTGTATATTAAATGAGGTGTCTTCAAACAGAAACACACACAAAACATGGTTGTGTATTGGCTGGTTGATGAAAACGTACAAGAGGTTTGCAGGAACCTAACTTCATATTTCCTAGGAGCGATGGGTCTGTATTCTCTTAATCAGTGTTCGTGGTGACGTCATGGGACATAATTACTGGAAATAATGAGACTTGGCTGCATCCATGTTCGGCTTTAAAGGCTTCCCCTCATTACCACATTGTGAAGATTAGAATTGGGAACCACAGAGCTGACCTCTATCCTCTATCCCTCTATCCTCTCACCTGCTTTGGGAATGAAGGTGACTGTAGCCTGAAAGCCACTGCAGGTCCCATTTTCATCCGACCGGAAGCTGATGAGCATAACGCTGGAGGGGCTGAGCACAGGGCTGGGGACCATATAGCCACACAGCCGCGCTGGTTGAAGCCAACCCAGGCAAGACGTCACAAGGGCCCAGCAAATAGATGTGGTGTTGGAGAAAAGAAAAAAATTGTCCTTTAGGTAGTTGTTGAGAAATAAGCTTTTCTGATGAATGTTACAGTTCATTTTCAAAATAGAAAGACAGTTCACTTCATTTAAATATGTGATTAACCCCAACAACATTTCAATTCTGTTTCGTCTCCCAAACTGTCCCCCTGGAAATGCTGCTGAGGGAAGTGGGCCTAGCCACAGGGCCTATTTCACTGGAACTTTCCCCTTCTCACTGCTAGTTCACTGTGGGCCTTTCACATTTTCTGTTCCAATGGCTCTTTGATTTCTCCTCTCTCCCTTCCTGCCCCTGATAAGAGGAAGGAATGGTGCTGAGACCATAGGGAGGGATGGGGGTGCAGGGGAATGAAGGAAGATGGAGTCATATCATTTTCAGTCCCATCTCAAGCCCAGGACAACATCCAAACCAGAGGAAGCTGAGGCTCCAGGGAATCACAGACCTATTTCCGTCTTCCTTTCTACATCGCTGTGCACTGTCACGTAGTCAGAAGTGCAGTCTCCGCTTTCTTCTATTTCCAGACTCTGAAACGAAAGCTGAGAAGACTCAAAGTTACATCCAGAGTAAACAATACGAATGAATTACAGGATTTTGATAGAGCAGAGAAATTTAGATTGTTCCACTTGCTCTGGAATAAGACCTTAGATGAGAAAGTTAGTAGGTATTCAGGAGTGGGTTAAAATACTTAGGGAAAAAATGCTGCATCACGGCTGTCAAACTTTCTGAAACATCTAAGCCACCAAATACGGGTTGAGTGAAAGGGCAGGAAAATGTGCAAATACTGGAGCTCCCCAGCAGCTCTAAGAGACCAGAAAAGCCACCACATAGAAAAAATTTTTTTTTCCGCTGGAAGCAACTAGGCTTTGGGTTATGCTATCCTGGACACACCAGGTACATGGACACACAACTTCTCTGGCTGTATTAGTGCTGTGTACCTTGTTCCTGATATTTCATGTTGAACTTCTAGTTCTCCTGAATCAAGACTGAAGTTGATAATGTCCCTTGGAGACTGTGTTTTTCTACCTGGCAGGATATACCTGGCTCCCATTCCCAGGCCTTTGAGAACCTCTGCTATAAGTCAATTCAATTATGAGTGTTGATGCAGAAACCAAAGTGAAATATTAGTAAACAGAATCCACCAGTACATTGAAAGATGACTGTACCATGTCCAGGTGAGATTCATTTCAGGCGTGTAGGAATGGTAGGAGATAGATTTGTATGGATTTAACATTTTAATAAGTCAAAGGAGAAAAATCATTTAATCATTTCAATAGATGACAGAAAGTACTTCACAAAACTCAGTATTAATTTCTGATTTGAAAAGTCCTAGTGAGATATAATAAAATAAATATATATATCTCTATCCAACAGTCAGCCTCATGCTTAATTAGAATATGCTAGAAGCCCAGTGTCATGCAGCAGAACTTTCCTGACTCCTGAGGAAATTCATGGTTGCCCAGCATGGTGATAAACGGGGGAGTGAGTGGTAACTCACTGCAGACCCTGATGGATATCAGAGGTGGTAGCTGAATGATTAAAGATCGACCGGCTCAAACCATCAGCCCCCAGCAGTCCATTCCCCAGGTGCACTCACTGACTGGTGAAGCCATTGGCACCCTGACTACCCACGTCTTCGGGATGACTGTCCCTCCACAGAGATAATCAGTGGCCATGGCTGACCTGCCATGGCCAGGAGCTGTGTGGCCTCCTTGCCTCCCATAATCCAGAAAGAAACCAGGAATGGGGGCGGGGAGAAGGGGAGGAGGAAGTGACTCTGCAGAGGCCACCCGGGAAGGGGCTGGGGAGACACATCTTTATCACCTATGGATCCTGCTCCCCATCAAGCCAAGATAGCAATCTGCAAGTATCTCCCTTGTGCAGGGCACTGTAATAGAACCTGGGAATGATGAGAAATGCTTGCATTCCAGAGAGAAAAATATTACATTACTGGAAATGGATATCTTACCCAGGAGTAAAATATCAAGCTCACCTTTGACTTCCCTCTCTTTTTTTGTTCCGACTATCCTGTCTCCAAACACTTTGAATGCAGGAATGGGGAGAGGAGGACATGTGTCAGAAACAGGATTCATTCATACATTGATTAAATGCTTACTGGATATTTTCTGAGAATGGGCCCTTTTCTCTCCAAGTCAAATGATATACACATTGTTATGACTTGTAATCCTGATTTCCAAATTATGCCCATGGATGGGTCCTGAAAGTGAAGCTGTCCCTGGCAGGGTGTAAAAGCATCATTCACTGATGCACAGCACTCAGTGTATATTCACTGAATAGATGTTTTTGAATCACTTCTCACTTATTTTCAGATTTTCAGCTACATTTTCTCTTTATCCTCCTCCTAGAAATATGCTCATAACCTAAACTAAATTTTTATCACTAACAGTAAATCTTCCCTAAATTATGCTAAAATTTCTGCCTCAACTCTGGGTTTGAGAAACTTTCAGAAAGAGAAGATCTACACTTCGCTCTTCTGTATCTTCCTCTCCCATTCATCCATAAAACAGGCATGATTTTGTTTCTGCTCCTCACATGTGACTTAATGTAATATTTCAGACACCATCAATCCCAACTCCTCTCAATTGTTCAATTTTCAATCCCATTGTTCTAACTTTTTATTGAGGGGTGGAGTGGACCGGACAATTAATCCTCAATTCTCATCTTTTTATATTCTCACTTTGTGTGTAAATCTAAATTATTGGCCACATCTCTGTTTGCTTCGTTTCATGTTTTGAATTAAAGACTCCAGTCTCTCTCGACTGTCAGAGATTGCACCAATTTGGTTCTCCTCCTATATCTCAGAGCTCTGCCTACCTCTTCAATATATGATAACTCTGAGGTCCTGTCTGCCCTCCTTCCTCCATCCTTTATTTGCTACTCTACTTTCTCTTCTTCATACACTGTCTTGCTGTCAATCATTATTTTAAGAGAAAGACCTATAAATAAACATCTAGCTCCGATCTCACCCTGACTACAGCCTTACCTTCATCTACCTGCTGATGTCTCTCTGCACATGGGCCCCTAGTGTTTAATGGACAAACAGCCACAAACACCACTAATTGAATGTGGAAAAAACTCTGTATCTGGGCACTGAAAGGCCTCCATACTTTGACCTCAGCCTCACCTTCCACGGGCCCCTCCTCCCACACCTCGGGACTCCCTTAGACCAGCAAGTACTGATTCCTCTGGGCTTGCTCTGTCCCATCTCCTTGAAAGACTTAATGATTTTGGCCAGATTGCCATTGACTTTTTTTTTTTTTTTGAGACAGAGTCTCACTTTGTTGTCCAGGCTAGAGTGAGTGCCGTGGCGTCAGCCTAGCTCACAGCAACCTCAAACTCCTGGGCTTGAGTGATCCTTCTGCCTCAGCCTCCCGAGTAGCTGGGACTACAGGCATGCGCCACCATGCCCGGCTAATTTTTATATATATATATCAGTTGGCCAATTAATTTTCTTTCTATTTATAGTAGAGACGGGGGTCTCGCTCTTGCTCAGGCTGGTTTTGAACTCCTGACCTTGAGCAATCCGCCCGCCTCGGCCTCCCAAGAGCTAGGATTACAGGCGTGAGCCACAGCGCCCGGCCTGCCATTGACTTTTGTTATCTATTACTTACAACGAATTTTGTTAGTAGATTAATTAATAAGGAAGAAATGCTCGTTTCTAGAAGGAACTAGGAAAGTCACCAATGCAAAGATTGAAGCAGCCTTGTTTTTTTTAAAACAAAAAGTGAAGAGCACAGGGTGCCATCTAGTGGTAATAGTAGGAAGTGGCAGGGGAAACTATGCTGGTCATTCTTCAAGTATTTATTTATTGAGAGCCTGGTGTGTCAGGTGCTGGGTACTAGATGCAGAAAATACAGCAGTGAAGAAATCAAATGAAAACCTCTGACCTCACAGTGCTTGTGTGAGCTGTTCTGTGCATTTACTGTAGCTAAATAAGGATAACCAAAGTCAATACCTCGATTAGGTGATGTTTGGGGGCTTGAAAAATCCAGTTACAGTTGGCCATGTCACTGTAGTTTCCAGGGTAGTTAGGACTCTGAATGAAGCCTTCTTCAAAAAGGACAGTTAAGACACTGCAACCTGAATCTGAAACACAAGGAAAAAGTCCAGTCACATGCCACTACCCAAATAAAGAGGAATTCTCATTGTTTTCCCTCCTGTCTTTCCAAAAGGATGTGTGAAATGAATTTTCAGACAGAGTGAATAAGAAGGAAGAGGTTTGTGCACTGATTTCCCAGAACTCCTCAAACCCTCTCCACTCACCTGGGTGGGCAGCAAAGATGTGCTAGCCAGGCTAACTCAGGGTTGAGGAGAGACTGCACCCTGTTCCTTAGCTAGCCCGTACCCTTTACTACAGAGCCGGTGGGCCTTGGGAGAGGGCTCCCTGCCATCACCTGGTTCCTATGGGGCCTAACCAGCTACAAAAGGCTGCGTTAGTACATGATACAAGTAAATGGTTTTACCAGGAAGGTAGTTTGGTTTAAGCGCTTTATAGGTGAGATTGAACCCAGTAGCATAATCTGTGGCATCAGAGATGAACTTCAGCCTTATAGAATTGGCGCCAACAAGAACAGATGAAGGGAGACTTTCTCCACAATATTTTCCTGCAATGTAAGAAAGAAGATTCTTTGTTCAGAATCTAGACAACAGTACTCATTAAATGCCTGAAGGAGAATTAAACTTGCCATGATACTTTGGGATTGTCTAAATCAGGATTTCTCAACTTTGGCACTATTGGTATTTTGAACCAGAACATTCTTTACATCCTGTGTCTTTTGTAGGATATTTAGTAGCGTCCCTGGCTCCTACCAGTAAGACTCCTTTTAGTTGTGACAACCAAAATTGCGTCTAGACATTGCCCAGTGTCTCCTGGGGCACACAATCACTTCTAGCTAAGAGCCACAGCCATTTCTGTTTCTTATATCAGTAACCTTTGCTGCCTCATGCTTATCTATTGGTATTTTTCACTGTAGCTGCATTAGGCAGGTAAAGGTCATTTTCACAGTTAGGAAAGCCGTATCCTGCCTGGAATGACCCCTGAGAGGCCTTGCAACATGTCTAGACTGTACTCTTGATGGGCTCCAGGTGTGGCGATGGCTCTAGGAAGCCTGGTTTGATGGGCAACAGACACAGCAGGTGAAATGCATCGTGCCCTTGTGGCCATCACACAGGCTCAGATTCGATTCCTCCCGCTCCCAATTCTGAGTCTCAAAACTGGAGATGGAAAGTGTGGCATTTAGAGATGGCTCCGTGCCAGACACAGCGTAACCAGGCCTCATTAAGCCCACTTAGCACTGGTTTCCATCTGATAATGTGAACATCCACTCACCAATGAGTCTGTCTTCTAAAGAATATATCGACAGGTAATTGTGGTGACAAGACTCGACATCCAAGCGAGAAAAACTGAGCAATACGTGCATTTCCTCTGGTACCAACAGGGTCCAGACACACAGTCTGCAGGGGGATCATGGAGAGGGTGTTATTTCTAGACAGAAAATGACTGTTGCAGTCCAATTAGTGGGCACAGCCAGACCGGAGGTGGGAGTCGGGGGAGGGCAGCAGAGGGAGTACTCACTGTTTGTTCTCGTAATATAGCTGGAGGCTTTCTGGAAAGTGCAGCTGCCCCTCAGGCTGTCTGACTACGCCATCCTGCTCACTGCACCAGGCTGGGAGGGAGAGCGGGGAGAGCCGGGCTGAGCAGAGATGGCGGCCGCACAGCGCCCCCTTCCAGAAGCTGCACAGACGCAGTAGCCTCCTGGTTCTTCTTCATGTACTCTTCCATTCTTTATGTAATCTTTCCTCTCTTGGCTTCTGTGATGCCTTATGCTTTTTTTTTTTTTTTTTTTTTTTATAGATCCTGCTTAACCTTGAGATTCTATGATTTATTTTTCTCCTTAACTCTTCTTTCTCTGATCCCACACTTCATTCTATAAGTAGGTGTATTTCCCAGGTTCTTTCTTTGTTCCTCCTCTTCTCTCTCTCCATGAGCTCTCTGAACAGTCTCATTCTTACCCTCAGTTTCAAATATCATCTCTACATTTCTGAACTTCAGACATGATTTAATAATGATCTCCTAGCTATCTCCCCCCAAATTCAACATGCTACAGATAGAATTCCTCTGGGTTAGCAAAACTGCATCTGCTTCTGATTTTATTGCTTTTACATGCCCTTTCCTTAGTCCTCATGCTGACAACTTTGGTACTATCTTTAATTCCTCCCTCTCCTTTACCACCTGTCATCTAACTGGCTACCAAATCCTAATTTTTCTTGTTTCTATTCCCTCTTTTTCATTCGCTGGCCATTGCATTGGTTCAAGCCTGTATTTCTTGTCTCTGGAACTAATGCAGAATCTCATGAGTTCACTTTGAATTATTCTCCCCACAACCCATCCCCTACACACAATTCTTATACTATTAAAGTATACCTCAAGTCCATTTATCTACTTAATAAACTTGCTATTACTAAATAAAGTCCAGATTTTTTTGACTGACATTTAAAATTTCCATAGTTTGATTTCAAGTTATCTTTCTATTCTTTTCTTTCATCAAATGCCATCACACATCCTAGGCTGCTTTGGCTGACTTACTGGTCTCTGTTCCACCTGACATTTTCCTATCTCCATCTCCTTTAATATCCATCCTTTGATAAGGATGATTCCTTAAGGTGGAATACTTTTCTTTACCCACATTCCATTTCCACCTGACAAAACCCCTACTCTTCCTTCAAGGTTCAGCTTTAAAAATGCCTATGCTCCAAAGCCTCCCCTGTTCATTTGTCTGTTTTCAGCTGGGAGCAGCCTCCCACTCCTCTGAGCTGTCAGGGTATTATTTTCCATATTGCTCTTTGTAGATAGTTACATAGGCTCAAAGAACCACAGAAGGTTTGAGCTAAAGACATCTTAGAGACCATCTGGCCCAAACTCTTTCCTTTATAGATGAAGAAACTGAGGGTCAGAGATAGGAAAGAGCTTGCCCAAAGTCACAGAGTGAATTTGTTGCATGGTTGCAATGTAACTCAGGGGATAAGACCCTTATATAAGTAGAAACACTTTCCAGGGAAGGTGTGTAGCTTATTGACCACATCTGCACTGTCTCACCCTCTTTCCTTAAGTCTCTTCATCACAGCTAGTGTTTGGCAACTGTTGACTGAATTGAGATGGAGCGCTGGGTTGACAGGAAGTGAAATGGGAGGGAATCTGGGGCTCATACTGAGCATAGGATTGCCCAGACTGGCAGGGTGGTGCTCCAGGTTGTGGTTTTACACCGAGTGAGCATGGAGGACTCTTGAAGCTGAAGACCTTTGATTATAAAGGGAACTGACATTTGGAAATGCTAGATGCTAATTCATGCTCCTGTGGAGCAGGCTGCAAAGAATACCTACCTCTAGAGCTCTTTCTTCGATGCCCTGGGAAAGAAAAAGAAAGATGCGATTCAAAGCTTGTGGTATGCTGAACCACAGGATTACTTTGGTACTGTCTTTGATTCCCCCCTCTCCCTTAACACCCTCATCTAATTGGCCAACAAGTCCTAATTGTTCCTGTTTCTATTCCCTCTTTTTCATTCTCTGGCCATTGCCTTAGGGGGAAAAATTCTTGCTATTTGAAGAAATTAGCATCTCCTTGTCTCAAAAGTACAGAGATTTTTAAAGTCAATATGCAACTAGGGAAAATCTCATGTATAGAAAGAAGAGATAAACTGACAAAGCAGGAAAGGGGCGCTGGTGTTTTAAGGAGATGATTTCACTCACTTGATTGAGTGGGCTAATTAATAAATAGTGATTCACTTGGAGGTCACACAGAGCAAGAAGAGGTCATTTTACATGAGAACAGAAGTGACAGATGTAAATAACTTTCTCACAACTACCAAAGAGTTGCTGGGATAGCCACAACTTGAACTGAGGGCTCAGATACCTACCACTGTTCCATATACTTGGAAAACAAACTCAGGTTCTTACTAAATTAATTTAAATTAACCCTTTTGGGAAAGGATAAAAAGCCCTTTTGAGAGTGGGAACCCCCAGTTAAGGAAACAGTTAAGTTGGGTTTACAAGTAGAAATGAAATTATAGTTAACTCACTGCTCAGTCTAGCAGAAGACTAGTCTAGCTCAGTCTAGCTCAGGCTGCACAGTCAGCCCTTGGTATCTGAGGGGGATTGGTTCTAGAACCTTGTGGACACCAGAATCTGAGGATGCTCAAATCCCTATATAAAATTATGTAGCGTTTGCATATAACCTCCGCACATCCTCCCCCATACAGTTCTTTAAATCATCCCTAGATTACTTATGATACCTAATACAAAGTAAATACTATGTAAGTAGTTGTTACACTATATGTTTTAAAATTTGTATTAGGTTTTATTGTTATTTTTTTATTTTTCCCCCTGGATATTTACAACCCATGGTTGGTTGAACTACAGATGTAGAACCTGCAAATATGAAGGACCAAGTGTCTATAGATCCTGGCCTTTTCATACTTTCTATACTCGGTGCCTTTCTATACTTAAGCCAGGGCTTCTCAACCTTGGCATTATTAACATTTTGGGAGGGATCATTCTTTGTTGCAGAGGACTGTTATGTGCATTGTCCTTGGCCCTGGTGCACTGGAAGCCAGTCCTCCCCCTACAGTTGTGACAGTTAAAAATGTCTTTGAATATTGCCTCCTAGGGACAAAATTACCCCTGGTCGATAACTACTGATCTATGCCATAGCTTGCTGAATCTTACTAGAACAGTTGAGAAGTAAGTGGTCAAACATATCATCAGCTGAGATAGTTTCAATTAAAGGCAAATTGGACAAAATCTAGGATGGATGGGTTCATCTTTTATTGAATATTTACATGCTGTACCAGATGCCATATTTCACTCTTGGTTTAGACTTGGCAAATTTCACAATCCTTATGTGCTACACTGAGAGTAGAAGAACAGCTCATCTGTTTGTGGGTCCTGACTTGCCTAGACTCTGCTGATGCTTTCTCTGGCCCTAGCAGAATGGCAGCTTCTTAACCTTGCCTGATGGCTTCATTACCAGTTTGGATGTGTTCATGGATCCAGGGAAGCACTTTACTGAGATCTGTGAAGATCCCAGGGGATCCTGGATCACTTTGATACATATTGTTCCTCCAGCCTCGACCACAGCCCAAACCCCAGGAAGTCACACCAGCCAGAGTCCAGGTCCCCTTCTTATTCTGGCACATGAGCGAACCTCCTGAATCTCCCTGCAGGGGAAAAAGTCCTCTGTTACCACCGCTGGCAATGCTGTACCCCTAAGCGATCACTTTTTTTCCACAACAATGCTAGATGAGGATCAATAACATTTCCTCACTTATTATAATTTAAACTCAGGGGCCTGGAAGAATAGCCCAGCACAATTCCCATATGATCCTCAAATATCACTGGAGTGATATCCATCCATCAAATCCACCTCCTTCTTTCCCATCCTAGGCTTTCCTCAAAGCAGCAGACTTTCTTCCTTCTCCTGTCTCATGCTACAGACTCAGAGAACAACTTTTGCCCAGCAATAAAATTGACTTCAGTTCTTGGTTAGCAGGAAGAATGGAGGAAAATATAGTTCCCAACATCCAACATCCAAAAACTGGAAACCTCTAAACAGGGAAGAGCCAGCCGTCCTTCAGGAATGGGAGAATGCTGAGCTCATCCTTGGCATTATCTCTATTATTTGATCTTTTGGAAAAAGCAAAAAAAAACCCAAAAACAACAACAAAAAACTCTTCTGAATTCATACTCCCTGATAAAATCAGATTGTTTATACCATCCCTTTATTTCGACTCAACCTCCTTTGTTACTCCTGACCCTTGTTTCTAGATTCCACTCTTACTACCTGGAATCAGCCTTCCTCCAGTCCCTCACCTGATAAGGAAGCTGAGGGAGGCCCTGCCCAGAACCTGTCAGCCCAGCAGCTCTCACCTACCTGACATGCGTCCCTCCCTCCTTCTGGGAAGCCTGTGCAGAGAAAGGTCTTTCCGCTAACGAACTTCCTCAGGGATGACAGAGCTGCCATACACTCCTTATGGGTCAAAATTGGCAGGTTCACTTCTTGCAAAACTTGCGGGAGGACACCATCTGGAAAACACAGAGACAGAAGTCCCAGCAAGGCACTCTTTCACCTTTTCTGATTTGAAGATGCCCCATTTAGGTTTCAATCTTTTGTGAAGACCTGAATTTCTACGTACAGTATGATATTCTCTGTCTTTAAAAATGTTTGCACAATTGTTCTTAGAAAGTAGATTAGAAATTCTATTTTCCAATTATCCACCAGAAAGTTCTGACCTCTGATTAGGAGGAGTGGCACAGAAGTTCTTACCTTCACCCAAGCGGCCCCAGCCTGCTGTTGTACAAATAAATCCAGCCTGAAATCTCTGCCCCGGCTCTGGAAGACACATGGGCCTCACAAACTGGCCTGAAGGAAAGGTCAAGGCAGGGCTTGTCTTATTCATGGAGAAGAGGACACCATAAGCTACTCACCACTTGGCATCCAGGTGGTCCCCCGAAGACCTTGTAAGAGTTGTGATATCTCTGACTGATACCTCCAGGGGTCACTTGTCAGACAAAGAAAGACCCTTTCCTGACTGCACATAATTCTATATCTAGTACCACAAGCAAAAAGTTTCAGGTAGGGGAATTTCCAGCCCAAATCCCTGTCTCAAAGTGCATGACCCAGAAGAGCTGGGCATATGCTACACAGCATACACTGCAGGGCATGGGCTGTAGGACAGGGATTACAGAGAGTATGGGGTGGACAATTCAGGGTGAATGAGCCTCAAATGTTTACCAAATTGGAAGGTTCCAGCCATCTTCAAAAGGGCGATATCATAGTCCATTGGCTTCTTTCTGGAGAAATGTGGGTGTAGGATGACAGATTCAATGGTGAGGATCTGCTCTTCTGGCTCTGTCTGGCTCAAGTCATGTTCTCCAGCAGTGACATTCACAGTTGACACAGTATTACTATGCAAAGGAGATAGTAATATGAATGAATTTAATTTTGTCTTTGAGTATAGTTGCAATGGTTGACAAACTGGCCTCTTCGAAATGATATGGATGGATACTGTGGGGTGTGGGTGCAATGAGCAGAGAAAGTAAGAATGATCCCAACACTATTAGAAAAAAATGCAGATTCCTAGTTCCAGTGGAGGAAAAGTAAAGCGAGGCCTTATCTGGAGTCAATGATATAAGTTTAATATTTTGCAATATTATTTGTAAATATCCAGACATACACATATTAATATAATATATTGTAATTCAGGGCTCTAAGGCTATAGGGGATTTTATTAAGTTACTCTAGGAGGCTGACCCAGCCTAAATACCAGTGATATCCTTTGGGAATGATTTGTCATTCCTAGTAAGTAAAATGCTTCAATGTCAGCGGATCTTATGCTTAGTGTATATTATGAAGGTCAGATAGCACTATAACTCTGATGTCCCAGACAGCATGTACATTCAGGGCTTTGGGACTCATTACAACAATGGAAAGTTGAGATCTTATCCTTACCTTCTTTATGTTTGTAATTTAGAGATCTTGCCTGCCTTGGGAAAGACCCCATCTTCCTGGGTCAATGTTACATAAAAGGAACTCAGCAGATGCATTGAGCTGGATTAAGAGTTTTGAGCTTACCATTCTTTGGGACCCTTCATTTCCAGAAATGGTGCTTTTATACAAAATTGGATAGGGCATAGTTACCTCTGGGTGTACTTCCCTGACTCTTGGCTACATTAGGTACCTAACTTAACACGTAGCATCTTTCTAGCCTACCACCTGCCACATTGCAGTGCAAAGATCAGTTGACTCTTCTTTGAGACTATCAACTCGTTAGGGGCAGAAACTATGTCGTAGTTATTTTTGGTACCTTTTGTACCCACTAGTGTCTGGCATCAACTAAACATCCAGGGAATGTTTGCAGACTTGAAATGGAAGAGGGAAAATATGGGGACAGACTAGTAGTGTATACCAAGAGTACTGACAATAATAGGATATTTGGATCATACCAGAAAGTGGATAAAGAATAGAAGTTGTTGAGTTGAGGCCCAGAGTGTCAGAATCAATAAGAAAGAAGATGTGGGAGCCTACTTTATATTTTACTGGCTTCCTTTTATTTTTTTTTAATTCATTTCTTAAGATGCATGACAAACCAGATTAATTTTTTTCACTGAAATTTAAGAAAACTAGGAGAAAACGTTCCAAAATCCTTCCTTGTAATGCTCTTTTTTCACACTTGGATGTTATTCTTTATTAATTTCCAGTAGTTTCAAGTGAATAAAGTAATTTAATTCTGCAAGGAATGTATGTTTTCTAACAAGTTGAATACCACCTGACAATGTCTCCAAGCTCCATTTGTGTCATAAACTTAAGATGATCCTCCACTAAAGCAATACCCACTCATCACACAGGTGCATGTCTTCATAGAGTTATTGCTGCTAATTCCAAGGGAGAGGAAAGGGTGGTCTGATCTCCATCCGTGGGCGAGGCCTTCCCTACCTGTATGAAACGCAGTGAGCAGCTGTGATCACCCACTGTGGAGAGATGATGGTTCCTCCACAGATATGCTTCTGTCTTTGTTTCAGAGACACCTAAATTGCAAAGACCTTAAATGGAAGCGAGTTAATGCCCTGGGTTCCCCCAAAACATGGTGATGAAGCATATTCTGAACAGCAGACTCAGATATCTTACTCATAAATATCAACAATCATGCACTGTAAAGGGTGAAAGCCATACATACAGCTCAGAAAGAAGAGTAGTGCTGGAACTAGAACATGCTGGGCCCTGGTCTGGATGAGAAGTTGTTAATTTGAGATGATTGCCTATGAAGGTTCTGGTAGAGTTGGCAATTAGAAGTGTTCATATTTATTTATTTATTGTATAACACTGTTGATGCAGACCTATTTCTCTAACAATATGAACAATATCTGTGGATAAAGATAAAGGAGTATAAGATACAGCAGAGTCCAGCTGAAGGGGTTCAGAAGGGAGGCAAGGTAAGGGCTAGAAAGCCTTTCAATACATGCTCCAATTCCTCCAAGCCTCTTAGGGAAATAGTTTGGATCTACCATTTTCTCATACTCTTAACTATTTGACACCTATAACTTCTTCAATCCTATTTATTCTTTATTCTGCCTCTTTAATATATTATACTTTCTATTTTTGGTTTATCCTATTCATGATATTTTATTTGATTCTAAAATGAATTGCTGTGTACAAGCAAATACTTTTAATAAGTATACTTACATTTTAGGAATTAGAAAAAAAAGCAATTTATTAGGATTGTCCCTTTTTTGACCAGCAATCATTTAATGAGCCATCAAAAAAACAAAAAGTAATACAGAGAAGAGGTTAAGAATAGAATAAACAGCACATAAGTAAAAGTCAATGAATCACTCGTACTATGATTTGAATATGAACTTCTAAAATGGCCAACCAATTGATCAAGTAACAGAACTGATCAATTAACTATTCAACCAAGTAATTACTCAGTTAATCAAATGACAATGAGTCAGCTATTCAGTCAACCTACTGAACGCAAATGCAATCAACCTGCAATTACCAAATAGCCATTGACCTAAAAGTTAATATGACTGACTCAAGATAAGTAAACATAAGGAAGATTGCTCTCCTTAAAAAGTTAAGAGGCAAGAATGCAACATGAATCCCAGGGTTAAGAAAACTGGGAGACTTTCAGAGATAATAAATGCAAACACTACGGGCTAGAGACAGAAGTGCAAAGTCATTTCCATGGCATGGGAGGAGCAGGAGATTAAATTGGGACAGAATTGTTAGGACATTAACTAATAAGGAGGTCGTACACTTGACTATTCCTTTAGGTATGGGTGCAAACTTTATACCTAAACACAAAGTGGATATGAGCTCTCTGGTCTTCTTCAACTATAACAAGGTAAGATATTTTTAAAACATACTTATTAAATGAAAAACATTTTCTCAATTGTAAATTCAAAAGACTTTTAGCTTCTTGAAGTGGGCCTTTTGTCTTAGATGCTGATAGTTTGGGATGGCATTTATAATACATGGAAAAAGTCAATAGTGCATGCAACTATTCTAAACTTATATTTTCTGGAATTCAACTGATGCACATCGGTTAAGGGACTTGTGTCTTTGTACATGTGCATGAGATATTTTGTGAGGAGGTAGGCAGAATAGAGCACTGATGAATAGCATGTGATTCTGGGAAATTCAATCCTGAGACTTTTCATAGCCCACCCTCCAGAGAACGTCCCCTGAGACTCACCTGCCAGGGATAGGAACCCTTTTCCACTTGGCTTCCCCCAAGAATGCGACTGAAAATGTTAAAGTTATTCCAAGGCTCTACCTTAACAAGACTTTGCCCACAACTGGGAGCTGAGAAAAAGATAAACATTGAGCGATTAGATAGGCTCTAGGACTGAGGGATACAGAAAACTCTTCTGAGCAAGAAAAAACTGTTAAGACATGGAGTATGTAGAAAGATGACTAAATAGCTTTAAGTTAATTGTCAAGATTTGGTGTGATTTGTAGCACAAGGGATTAGTCAATTTTTGTCATATAGAACATGTATATCATAAACAGATCTACTTTTCTGATATGAATATGAAGGACCTTATGGGTAGATCTCCATTGGGTTATTAAGAATGCAGCCACCCTTTGATTCTGAGCCCTCTGGCCCCTGAAAGGCTTCTCACAGCCCTCTGTACTCTCCCATGACATTTATCACATGCCAGTATGGCTACTTCTACATCTTTCAACCCAACAAGACTGTGGGCTCAAAGATAGGAACTTAACTTTAGAAGTATCTATATCCACTATATCTACCACAATTCCTGATGCACAAAAGTTGCTCAGTTAATTTGTTGATGATACCACAGTCTACCTTGGATTACAATCGTGTGTTTTCTCTCCTCCTCCCATAAGACTAAGTCTGACCATGGTCTATGGTGTCTGAAGCACAGTTGGATATCAATAACTCTTTACTGGATTTAATTCTCTATGGGGATGGAAAGTGACAGGTTGTTCAGGAGATTAAAGTGTAGAGAAGACAGTGTCCTGCTTCACATACCAGTGTTAGGATAGAGGGTTGCCAGGGCATAGAAGAAAGAACTCCTTCCTTTTCGTGTAAAAGACATTATCCCTGAAAAAGTTGCATGTACTTATTTGTTCTCAATGGGTTTTTTGACTCCCCACCTGAGAGACAGGCTAGATTAAAGATGTTTGCCAACACCTGGTAGTCAAGGATGGCACATCTGCCCTCTTGCAGGTCATTTTTTTCCATATTTTTAAGGAGGGTCTAGAAAGCCTTGCCTCATAATTACCACACTTGATTGCCTACTTAAATCCTCCAATCCTTATTCCTCAGCTTGGCAGTCTTTCTTGATTTCCTCAAACTGGGTTAGGTGTCTCTCCCTTGTGTTATATAGTACTCTTTCTCCACCCCTTTAATAGTTCTTGTTCTTGCCATGTAGTATTGTGATAGTGAATTACTTGCCTCCATGATTGGACTATGAACTACTTCAGGAAAAAAAAAAAACTTGTCTTATGCATCTCTGTATTTCTAATATTTTAGCACAATTCTTGACATAATTAAGCACTTAGAAAAGTTGAATAGATGAACAAATGATTTTTCTTGAGAATGCATCCTTAAGAGCATAGCTATTTAGATGAATGTGTTAAAATATACAAAGCTCTTTCATACGACTTCTTGTTTAATCCTCACTTTATGTCTGTAAATCAAGAATTATTATCCCCATATTACAGATGAGAAAACTAAGAATCAAAGATATTCACAGCTAAATAATGGCAGAGCATGGATGTAACACTACATTTTTTTATTCTGAATCCAGTGCAGGCATGACATTAGATCAAAACCTTATTTTCTCACTGTTTTGGGTGAATGAGTCATAAAAACTTTAGACATGAAATTTACTATTTCCTGAACCCAATGAAGGAAAGATAGAAAACATGTTGATTGCCAGGGCTGGCAAAAATCTGACCATGTAGAAGTCTACTAAGAACTGTTTTCAGTTTAAGTTAATTGAGGAAAAGAAGACCATTTACAAAATACTATTGTGAGCATGCTTCATATTTCCCAGCAAGATAATTTTCCAAAAGATAACAAATGCTGACAAATCCATGATGATTTCCAGAATTTGCTCTATGAAAGAAGATGAGATTATATAATGTGTTCAAATAAGTGAACAATCTTATTTTTTTTTCACTTAGTTTCACTAAGTGACCTGGGATGTTTCTAATCATAGTATTTCTATGTCATATACTGATTGCAGGTGGGAAGTCCAAAATAATTACTTGAAAAGCAAATAGATCTCCAAAATGTATTTGCTTCTCCTATTTTCCCAAAGGACTAGAGAGTGGAGTTACAATGCTCATTGCCAGCAAAAGTTATTCCTTTGTAAAAGGTAGTTATAGATTTCATTTGGAACTTACCTTTGGAAACAGAAAGAGTCGCCGATTTACCTTGTTCCAAACAGATCACTCCTAGTAGTAAAATCAGCCTGTTCTTGCTTATAGACATTTTGAGACTCAGAGTTTTTCCCTGAAATTTTAGAGAGACAAAGATAACAAAAATAGGAACCCTTGGGAGACTAGCAGTAAACCAATTCTAAAAAAGTTTACTCATTAACCAAGACTTGAAGCATTCAACCATGTCCATGTAATGTCTTTGAATGTGGTTTCTTACAAAGATTTTTTGCAAGATGTGGAGAAGCAACCACAGAGGCAATCTTGATCAAGCAGTATTTCCATATCCCATTACACCCACGTCAATTGCTTCCCCCAAGTGTATCTGGCTAGCAAAGTGGTTGGTATGTAAAGTTTTCATCTGAAAACATTACCTGCTCCTTTGTACATGTTACCACTACTATAAGAGGATTGGCTATCAAAGTTGTCCTTGTTTGAACAGTAGACTTCCTCCCTACATGTTTGCAAATAACCCATATGAACATTCATTTGTCCTTTTCTTATTTTGCAAATGTAACTATATGATTATTAAAGCCATGTGTTTGAGAAAGAGAGGAGAGGAAAGATAACCAAGTAGCAGACTCAGGTCATGCTACTAAACAGTATTTAGGATGCTGTTCATTGGGGCATTTGTGAATCTGCATTTTCTCATCATTTTTTTGTATTTATAGAAGCCAAACACTAAATATCCTTTACTTCACAGGAAAGTGGCTATGATTACCTGCAAATCTTCCTCTTTTCTGGCTGAGTTTTTGGTACATAGTCAGTATGTGAGAAACACTTATAGATTGGTCAGTGCCATCTAGGACCACATAGGAATATGATTTTTTTCTGTTAATTTTCATAAGTTACCTGCCCAAACCAGCAAATGTCAAACTAGAAGCCCCTAACTTCCTTTTGGCAACTTTTGCCCTTGTATAAAATAAATCTATACAAATATAACACATACAGATAATATAAGAGTGAAAGAAAAACATCTTAAAACCTAAAATTTGTGAGCACCACATATTTAAGAAACAGTCAAGACCGAAGCCTTATGGAAGGAAAGAAGCTCAAACCTTCAACTGAGGCTTTATCTGCAAATACCTTAATCCTGAAGGTAAAAATTTTGGGTTTTTGGTATGGGAATGATATCAGCCCCAAGAGGTCTATGCCATAATCAAAATCTCAATATTTCTTTGACAACAAGTGCTCTTGAAAATTTTATTGTATTTTGTCAGTCACTTTTGAGAGCAACTTGATCCAGAATATTGCCTTTCTGACTTCAAATTCCCTACATCCTGTCTAAAATTTGTGTGGCTGCCAATGTAAAAAATGCAGGAAGACCTAGCGTGGGCCTGGGATGTGCCAGGGTGGACAACCCTAAAGTAGGAACAGAGGTTTATTTAAAGCACAGAGCCTTTTGAGCTTTTGACCAATTATTGATTTCTAATGTTATAGGATAATGAAATTTGACTCTATACTCAAAAATGATGAGTTTACTCCTTGTCATGTCATTTTTATTGGCCGTCACACAAAAGTATGATGAGATCTTCCTCACTTCTTTATTTCAGGAGAAGATATTTGCTTCAAGCTTTTGTATCAAGATGTATCTCAACACAGTTATCAATACACATCAACACACTCATTCATCACATAAAACTGGTCATTAATAATTTGGTACTGTCATATCTTGAGGGGGTAAACTGTAGTCCCCTTGCTGTTAAAATCTTTCATCTTCAGGGACAGTGTACCAGCTTCTGGAGACACTAAGTTTCCATAAGGCCAGTTAGCCAAGCCTACCAGAGTTCTAGAGACAAACTATAATAACTGCATGTTGTAGTTACTTAAAGAAAGGAATATGCTGAAATATCACTTGGCATGGTATTATAAAATAAATTTTTTTATCCATGAGACTGTTAAATCTTTTAAAGGGAAAAAAAATCTCTCCTGGAAATTTTGGACCAAAGTCTGCACTGAATATGGGTTTGGGCTTCAAATTATACTGTCTTCCTTCTCTGTAAATCTCAAAGTTGAGAAATTAGCATTAAAACCTATCCTGAGTCAGTGATATAGAAGGCAGCTGGAAGAAATAAAGAACAAACCTATTTGGAAGGACATGCTCTCATCAAGAATATGTCAGCAGATATATCAGAGTGCAGACTTAGATGATCAAGAACTTCAGATAGCAGGATGATTTAATAAATGTTACAAAATATTTATTAATATTTTTGAAGAAATAAAAGAATAAAAAACTAAGAAAATAAACATTTAAAAAAATACAGATTTTGGAAAAAAGAGACATTCCAGATAAAAAAAATATAGTCTTTAAAAAATAAAGTTAAGCAGTAGAGTATACATAGCTGAAGAGAGAATTAATGAGTTGGAAGACAGATCTTAGAAATTAGAATGTTGTGGTGTTGGGGGGAAGACAGAGAGAAACATGCATAGAATGAAAAAGAAATTATGTGATGTGTAGAACAGAATGAGAATGTGCAACCTATGTCTAATCAGAATGGCAAAAGGAGATTATAGTAGAAAGAATGGGGGACAGGCAATATTATAAAACAAAGTGGGTAAACTAAAACCCATGTAACAGCTGAGAGAATAGCATAAAGGACATCCATGAACTGATCACTCTGCTTCAACAATTACTCACCCTTGGCCCATTTTATTTCTTTTACAACATTCTAACCCCTCCACAGTCTCATTTTGAAACAAATCTCAGGCATTATATTATTTCATCTATAAATAATTCAGTGCATATCTCTTAAAAATAAGGATTCATAAAAAACATAGCCACTATACCACTATTAAATAAAAAATGGATACTTTAAAAATATCGAATATTCAGTGTTTGAATTCTCCAGTTGTCTTACAATTTTTTTATACTTGGCTTGAGTTAAAAATTTAAACAAGGTGTACCTGTTTCATGTAATTGTTATATCTTATGTCTTTTTAAAGCCATAACTTCCTTCTCTCTTTTTCATTTGTGCAAGAACTTTTGTTGAAAGAATTGGTTATTTAGTCCTTTAGAATGATCTACATTCTGTATTTTGCTGGTTGCAGAGCTGTGTCTTTAATGTGTTCCTGTAACCCCTCTGTGACCTATAAACTGATAGGTAGTTCTAAATACAGTCTTGATCAGATTCAGGTTAGAATTTTGGCAAGAAATTTTATAGTAGGGTTATGTACTTCCTGTTGCATCACACCATGAGGCACTTAATGTCTGGTTGTCTTTTCTATGTTTTTAAAGTTAGTCAGTAGGTTCAAATATTTTTAGCCTGCTTATCCAGTATAAAGTCACTTTTTTCACTTAATTTTAAAACAGCCCTTGATCATTGCCTAGATCCATTATTTCAGTAGCATTTACAAAGTGATGATATTCTGATTTATCATTCTTTCTGTGTTTATCAACAGGATCTAGTTTATAAAAATGTTCCTTACATCAATTATTTAAGTACCCCTACATTATATTTGATATAGGCAAGTTAAGATAAATGCTCTATTCTTTTTCTTTATTAATAATTCTGAAGATGAATGGGTTAGTTTGCCAGTATCCTCCAAAGATGATTAATTTTTCTATTATCATTATGAAGCCATATCACACATCACAGTCCCCAATAGGTGTCATTTTACTAGATAATCAAAAATTACCCCATCTGCTGTTACCCATATTTTACAAATACGAAGGGTAAGAATCAAATAGCTTCATGGACTTGCCCAAGGCTACACAATTAGTCTTAGAGTCTTGATTTCAATTAATGTTGTTTTGATTTCCTATCCAATACATTTTCTATCATGCTATTATGCCAACTAAGTCCTTGTCAGTTTCTCTGTGTACCTTTTGTTTTTCCCTGGATTTGGTTCATTTTCTTTTCTTTCTTCTTCTTCTTCTTTTTTTTTTTTTTTTTTGGCTCCCATCAATCACTAGCTTCTAAATTGGCACAAAAGAAAGTAAGATGCATTTGTACATTTTTTCCCTCAACTAGCCTCTTTCCCCATTTTATGCATGTAAGAGTTCTTTTAAAAAGTTGACCTAAACTGCTCTTTTCTTTTTTTCTGGTTTTCTCACTAACCTACATCTCTTGATCACCCCTTCCTCCATTGTAGCACAAAAGTTTGGTCTTCATACAAACTAGTATCTTGGAGATAGTCTGTAGAGGCTGAAGTATAACACATAAATTCTTCACCTAGAATTTTGGGGTTAATTATGTCTCTTCCAAACAAAACCCTATCCAATTTCTTCTCCTCTGCCTTCTTCATGCCTGTATGTGAAAGTTTTTACATTTGCAGAGCACTGACTCAGGCACATCCTTACACTATTTCCCTTTCATTCCCTCACATTTCCTGGCCAGCTCACTTTTGCCCATTTATTTCTCTGCTGTCCATCCCATGTGCTTAGTATTTATGGGAAAACACGTCCCACTCTTCCTTTTCCTGATATTCCTGAAATTCCAGGGCATTACTGAACCTCTTTTCTTCCTGGAATCCTCCCATTCCTATTCTAAAACTCATAAGGTGAGAAAGGGGGAAGTACTCCTCTTTTCCACAGTTTCCCTCTTTTACATCTCTCATTTGCAAATCATCTCTTCTCTTTTAAGGTCTATTTTTTTTTTTTTAAGAAAAATACCCTCATTGTTTTGGATTACCCTTGAGACATTCTCAGATTGTCCTTGATTATTTTATAGTTCAACTCACAATCTCCACCTTTCATTAGCCTTTAATTTTCAAGTGTGTCATCTCTTAGTTGCAACAGGGAATAAGCAAGGTGTTTATAAAAGAGAATTCTATGACCTCTGCCTAGGGATTGGATTAAGTTGGCAACCTGAGAACATATTATAGCCTCATGCTTCTGTTCCAAATTCATGATAGGAAAGATATACTCAATAAATGAGCCATAGCAGTGCTGGAAAACCAAAAAGGGGAAAGGAACTTTTAGTAGCCTCAAATTATGAATATTCCTGGAAAGATGAAAAGCAAATGGAATCCAATTAAGGAAAGAATCGAAGCCTAACATGCCTGTTAGGAGAAAACTGCTGAAAAAGTTCTGGACTGATGGAACTTTGGAAGCAG